AGCCTGTCAATAGAAGCCTCGCGACGCTCCAGATCGGTAATTGCCAACGTGAACGACGGTTTTGTTGGACACCGTGTATACACGCCGGATTATCGCCGCGATCCCACGATCACAAGACTAGGTTAGGATTTTGCCATTTAATCGCGGAAATCGAGGCCGTCATCGGGCTCTCCGATTCACTCTCCACGCATCTCAACGCGTGCGTGGCGTGACTCAGTTTTACAGGCTGATTCAGTTTTTGGAGTTAAAACGTGGACTTTCGAATTTTTATTATTTTATTGGGACAAAATGCGTATCTGTTTGAAGAAAAATTATTTTTCACGAGGATCTTTGATTCAATTTGTACACGCATCTCAACTCATGAGTGACATGAGTCAGATTTGTGATGATAGAGTAATATGTGGACTTTCGAATTTTTATTATTTCATTGGGACAAAATGCGAATCTGTTTGAAGGAGAATTATTTTTCGTGAGGATCTTCGATGCAATTTGCACACGCATCTCAATGCATGCGTGCGTGAGTCAGTTTTGCGATGATAGAGCTATATGTGGCCTCTCGAATTTTTATTATTTTATTGGGACAAAATGCGAATCTGTTTGAAGGAAAATTATTTTTCACGAGGATCTTCGATGCAATTTGCACACGCATCTCAATGCGTGCGTGACGTGAGTCAGTTTTGTGATGATAGAGTAATATGTGACCTCTCGAATTTTTATTATTTCATTGGAACAGAATGCGAATCTGTTTGAAGAAAAATTATTTTTCGCGAGGATCTTCGATTCAATTTGCACACGCATCTCAATGGGTGCGTGACGTGAGTCAAATTTGTGATAGAGTAATACGGTCTTTTGATTTTTATTATTCCGTTGGACAGAATGTGAGTCAATTTTATAGTGCGAAATAAGACTTAAAATTTTTCGAATTTTTATTATTTTATTGAGACTGAAAATTATTTTTCTTGAGGCTCTCCGATTTGCTCTTCACGCACCTCATCGTATGCGTGACGTGACTCAACTTTGTGATAGAGTATATCGATCTCTTGATTTTTATTATTTTGTTGGGAAGAATGTGAGTTGGTTCTGTGATATGGAGTAATACTGTCTTTCGTATTTTTATTATTTTATTGGAACAGAAAATTATTTTTTGGGCAGCTTTCTGATTCACTCTTTATGCATTTCAACGCGTGCGTAGCATGAGTCAGTTTTGTGACAGAGTAATACGGTCTTTTGATTTTTATTTGGTTGGAAAAAATGTGAGTTGGTATTGTGATATGAAGTAATACTGTCTTTCGTATTTGTTATTATTTTATTAGGACAGAAAGTTATTTTTTGGAGAGCTTTCTGATTAATTCTTCATGCATTTCAACGCGTGCGTAGCATGAGTCAATTTTGTGATAGAGTAATACGTGGTCTTCCGAATTTTTATTATATTTTTAAGTAGACTGCGAGTCTTTTTTAATAGAAAATTATTTTTCATGAACTCTCTAATTCACTCTGCACACACCTCATTGTGTTGCGTAGCATGAGTCGGTTTTGTGATACAGTAATGCGGTCTTCTGATTTTTATTTTGATGGGAAGAATGTGAGTTGGTTTTGTGGTATGAAGTAATACTGTCTTTCGAATTTTTATTATTTTATTGGGACAGGAAATTATTTTTTGGGCAGCTTTCTGATTCACTTTTCACGCAGCTCAACCTGTGCGTGGCATGACTCAATTTTGTGATAGAGTAATATATAGTCTTTCGAATTTTTATTATATTTTTTGGCGGAATATTAATCTTTTATAATAGAAAATTATTATTCGTGAGTTCTCCGATTCACTCTTCACATAACTCAATACGTGTGTGACGTGACTCAATTTTGTGATAAAATAAAACATGAACTTCCGAATTTTTATTATTTTATTAAGACAAATATTGCGAATCTGTTTAACGAAAAATTATTTTTCGCAAGTCTCTCCGATTCACTCTGCACACACCTAAACGCGTGCGTGCCGTGACTCAGTTTTGTGGTAGAGTAATGCGGTCTTTCGAATGATTCTTATTATTTTCTCGGAATGTGAGTGTACGTAATGGAAAATTTCTTTTATTTGCGTCAGACTTGGGAGTATTGCATAGAGTAGGTGCATTCGTGGTGACGTTACTTAACTTCGATTTGCGTAGAACGTACAATATTCTTTATTAAATCATTATAAGGTAGAATTATACTGAACCTACGTGGATTAATGAAGATTGATACAATATCGAGAAAATGTCACATGAGAATTCCCGCAGGTATGCCTCCAGCCGTAGGATATTTTTATCATCCTGCTCATTTATCCAGTATAATTCTTGGTTTATTTTATTATACAATGCTCGTATGATATTTTTTCACTCGGACGATTACATTGCTGAATGTTATTAAACAAATGGAAAACACGGCTCTTGCTTCATCGGATAGCGCAAGAAGCATGTTTTATGTTTCATAACTTCTTCAATCATCAACTTTTTATCAGTGTCAATCTTAAGGAGAACTATATTTCACGCTGAGCGATGAGTGTGCCTCTTAACGTCAGCGAAATAGTTATCGCGAAAATTGAATTTTAAAGAAACATTTGTCACTGTTATCTCTCGAGGAAAAAGGATAATAAATTTGGAAATTTGGAAAATTTTTCACTCCAGTTCCACGTTCTCCATATTTCTTTTTCCCCCTCGATATTGCTCTTCTTATCACGTTGCAACCTCGTATTATGGAAATAACACCTATTTAAATTATCTCGCATTTTTACATACACGACGTAACAAAGAATTCGTTGCATACACGCGATTAAATAATATCCCTACACACGCAAAGTATTAATCTTCCGAAGCATAAAATTTCGCTACAAATACCACAATAACCCCTCGTAATCAAAAATCAAAGCTCAGAAAAATTCATCGACTCAGAAGACTTTAAAAAATTTTTTAAAAATTGTCAATTTTTAATTTCGAAATACCAATGGGTATAATTAACCTCACATATTTGAAAAGGGAATTAAAGATAAAATAAATTCGTTATTGTCTAATCGTTAATTATAATGGCTTATTTCTCGCGAATTTAACGATCACAAAAAGCTCGGATTCGACGACAATAATTTCACAAGATCAAATCGATCAAATCGCTCGGCTCGTCAAATGCAACTTCACGATCTGAAACGCTCGAGAAGCACAGCTCAGCCATCTGGGTGCATATCCGCGATGGACCACCCTGTATACGCGGTGTCCGTTTCGAAACGCGAGCCAATAACGAGACTTTTTGCCCCGTTTGACGCGAGGGATCAGCTCGTCGTCTGACCGAGCATCGTTACGAAATTACATTAATCAGGCTCGTTTCGCGTTGCTGGCCGTTAATTGCTCGGAAGAGTCCGACGTTGGAGCGTGCGAATCCCAGGCTCGATGCGAAACCTTTCATCGGGAATCACTTTCCCGTCCTTCGTACCTTAAATTGCCTCGCCGAGACGACTTTTCTAGCAGCGAATCGCGAATATAGTTGAATTTCGAGTGTCACTCGTGTCGAGGTATTTTTCTTAAAATAGTTAAGAAATATTATTCTTTGATATTTATTTATTTAAGATTATTTTGTATATTTTTCTTATATATTTTATAATTATATTTTAAGGGTATTATATTATATTACATTATATTATATAATTAATATAATTATATTTTTAGGAATGGAACGAGTACAGCTCTGAAAGAATGTTACGAGTGTCTGGGACATGGAACGAAAGTGACCATACGTGCAAGAGGATCGAGTGTAAGGGGTGATTATGACGGAGACGAATGAAAATTTATGAATGCATCTACAGAGTATTTATTAGTTCATATTGTATTACATTAGGTGAAATTAAGTGACGTAATAGTATTCTAGTCGATGTCCCCTGATACTATCCTATTTATATATATTTCCTAAATATATATCCTAATTGGAACATATGTGTATGTATCAAAGACTTTGTCCACTAGACTAGATCAATTGCAAATTGCATTTCTAATTTCCCATAAAATTAGCAGTGATAGTAAACAATTGTACAGTGATTGTTATGCTTTACAATTGATTATGATTCTAATATATTATAATTATATCTTATGGGAGTATAATTATAATTATATATAGTGTAATTAGGGTGTATGTATAATTACAGTTATAATACATATAATTGTTTATTGTCGTTGCTGTTTTTGTGAAAAATTCGAAATGCAAATTGCTGTGACACTTTAACGAATTATAAATAGTTAAGCTTGAGTCATAAATTTTGTTAAGTGGGTAATCTGTGCAATCGATTCCGATTGACTTGCTCCAGTTGGTAAATTAATTTATTGAAAATAAAGTGGAGGTAGACATTCGCTGAAAGTGTTTTGGTCAAGGTTCGGAATAAACACAACGAGACGTTGGTTAATAATTAATCAAATTTATGAATAAAAATGAATTAACAGGGCAAAGTATTTAGTTGAAATAAAAATTTGACAAACGAACTCGATTAAAATTTAATAGTTCTTTTATTCATGCATATCTGAAGTTATACCATGAGTAACGTGAGGCAAAATCTTTTCCTCCCTTTTGGGAAAAAAATGATAAACGTCAGGAAGCTTGCATGCGAAAATTCGAGGTGATGGCATTAAATTTTCTTTAGATATTAAAGATTCGGTAAACTTATGGTAACACATATTTAAGCAGTGTCGATGACTTTCGTCGTTACAGCATGCACGAAGAAGTTGTACATTATGGTACACCATAAATGATGACTCGTCATTAGCGATCGTGTTCTCGAACATCAAACATCGTCGCGCTACGCACCAAACAAAAACGAGCTACCATTCGTTTCTCTGTGATTTCCGTTCTTGACGTTTTTACACCATTAAATGTGAAATCTCTCCAAGCGTGTAAATTAATCAGGTCCATCAGCACGAATTACGGGGCACCGTGTACGTGAATGTTCCCTCCTCAGAAGGAGTAACAGAAGCAATTCTGCAGATTATTAATTATTCCAACATACTGTATATTAGATAATTATATGAAATACTCCTCTCCATATAGGCTAGACTTAGAGGTTTTGTAACAGGAACATAGGATGTGCGAGGAGGTATTCGGTAGCTCGGTTCTAGGAATGTGACGTCAGTTCTAGGAATTCCACGGCGCGGGGAATTGAAGTCCCCGCTCGCAGTCTTGGCTAGAATTAGAGGTTTTGTAACAGGAACATAGGATGTGCGAGGAGGTATTCGGTCGCTCGGTTCCAGGAATGTGACGTCAGTTCTAGGAATTCCGCGGCGCGGGGAATTGAAGTCCCCGCTCGCAGTCTTGGCTAGAATTAGAGGTTTTGTAACAGGAACATAGGATGTGCGAGGAGGTATTCGGTCGCTCGGTTCCAGGAATGTGACGTCAGTTCTAGGAATTCCGCGGCGCGGGGAATTGAAGTCCCCGCTCGCGGTCTTGGCTAGAATTAGAGGTTTTGTAACAGGAACATAGGATGTGCGAGGAGGTATTCGGTCGCTCGGTTCCAGGAATGTGACGTCAGTTCTAGGAATTCCGCGGCGCGGGGAATTGAAGTCCCCGCTCGCAGTCTTGGCTAGAATTAGAGGTTTTGTAACAGGAACATAGGATGTGCGAGGAGGTATTCGGTCGCTCGGTTCCAGGAATGTGACGTCAGTTCTAGGAATTCCGCGGCGCGGGGAATTGAAGTCCCCGCTCGCAGTCTTGGCTAGAATTAGAGGTTTTGTAACAGGAACATAGGATGTGCGAGGAGGTATTCGGTCGCTCGGTTCCAGGAATGTGACGTCAGTTCTAGGAATTCCGCGGCGCGGGGAATTGAAGTCCCCGCTCGCAGTCTTGGCTAGAATTAGAGGTTTTGTAACAGGAACATAGGATGTGCGAGGAGGTATTCGGTCGCTCGGTTCCAGGAATGTGACGTCAGTTCTAGGAATTCCGCGGCGCGGGGAATTGAAGTCCCCGCTCGCAGTCTTGGCTAGAATTAGAGGTTTTGTAACAGGAACATAGGATGTGCGAGGAGGTATTCGGTCGCTCGGTTCCAGGAATGTGACGTCAGTTCTAGGAATTCCGCGGCGCGGGGAATTGAAGTCCCCGCTCGCAGTCTTGGCTAGAATTAGAGGTTTTGTAACAGGAACATAGGATGTGCGAGGAGGTATTCGGTCGCTCGGTTCCAGGAATGTGACGTCAGTTCTAGGAATTCCGCGGCGCGGGGAATTGAAGTCCCCGCTCGCAGTCTTGGCTAGAATTAGAGGTTTTGTAACAGGAACATAGGATGTGCGAGGAGGTATTCGGTCGCTCGGTTCCAGGAATGTGACGTCAGTTCTAGGAATTCCGCGGCGCGGGGAATTGAAGTCCCCGCTCGCAGTCTTGGCTAGAATTAGAGGTTTTGTAACAGGAACATAGGATGTGCGAGGAGGTATTCGGTCGCTCGGTTCCAGGAATGTGACGTCAGTTCTAGGAATTCCGCGGCGCGGGGAATTGAAGTCCCCGCTCGCAGTCTTGGCTAGAATTAGAGGTTTTGTAACAGGAACATAGGATGTGCGAGGAGGTATTCGGTCGCTCGGTTCCAGGAATGTGACGTCAGTTCTAGGAATTCCGCGGCGCGGGGAATTGAAGTCCCCGCTCGCAGTCTTGGCTAGAATTAGAGGTTTTGTAACAGGAACATAGGATGTGCGAGGAGGTATTCGGTCGCTCGGTTCCAGGAATGTGACGTCAGTTCTAGGAATTCCGCGGCGCGGGGAATTGAAGTCCCCGCTCGCAGTCTTGGCTAGAATTAGAGGTTTTGTAACAGGAACATAGGATGTGCGAGGAGGTATTCGGTCGCTCGGTTCCAGGAATGTGACGTCAGTTCTAGGAATTCCGCGGCGCGGGGAATTGAAGTCCCCGCTCGCAGTCTTGGCTAGAATTAGAGGTTTTGTAACAGGAACATAGGATGTGCGAGGAGGTATTCGGTCGCTCGGTTCCAGGAATGTGACGTCAGTTCTAGGAATTCCGCGGCGCGGGGAATTGAAGTCCCCGCTCGCGGTCTTGGCTAGGATTAGAGGTTTTGTAACAGGAACATAGGATGTGCGAGGAGGTATTCGGTCGCTCGGTTCCAGGAATGTGACGTCAGTTCTAGGAATTCCGCGGCGCGGGGAATTGAAGTCCCCGCTCGCAGTCTTGGCTAGAATTAGTGGTTTTGTAACAGGAACATAGGATGTGGTCGGTGGTGATTTCTTCATGCTATTTGTTGGTATTCCTGTCAAATTTATGTAGATATGTATTTTTTATTTTTTTTCGTTCCTGATACGGGGCAGTAGTTTCATGGGAACTGATGGGAACCGGCGTTTCCAGGTGGTGTACCTATGGTTTCACTTGATTTAGAATCACGATTAGAGTCATTAATATTTATACTCGTAGGCATTGTTATTATCATTAATGCAACATTGGTTCGCGGGATCTTGAGAAGTCAGAGATTCTCCCACGCTAATGTTCATGTTGGGTCAATGATTTTAAGATGTGTATTTGGTGAAATCGAACGATAGAAAGGATTAGAAGTTCAATGGTAATTGTGGATTAGTAATTAATTCTGAAGTTTAATTATTCATGTTTATAATTGATAATAATTGTTTATTATGGAAATGTGTAATTAATAATAAAAATTAATAGTGAGATTCGTATCATGAACGAGTTATTTACGTTTTCTTTTTTCCTTATTTTTAATGTGTCGTATATTTGAAAGTTCTAGCTTAGTATGCACAACTATGTTTGATACATTCTTATTCAGTATGTTTATGACAAGATATTTAGTACATTATTAGATGCAGACTATCTGAACATGAATGGTATCTGTAACTTGTTTGTTATTCAATATTTTGTTAATAAATTGTGAGGTATATTATTTATCGATTCTCTTAGGACTTATCTTCGATAGTTGACTCCGGCTGGAGCCCTGCTCCTTTTACTTTTCTTCAAATCACTGGAAACGAAGTTCTCAGGATAATTCGTCGTGACCATGAAACAGTTCGCACATTTCGAATTGCAAATTTTCATTGTGAGAAATCAATTTCGTGTGCTTGTTTCTCTTTAAAATTAAATTATCGCCATAGTACTATAACAATCGCTAATTTCAACACTGCCTTCGACGAAGCATCACAAATCACTAATACACCTGCCAAATATCAATTTCAAATATTTGTCCAGAATTTGAATCAACCAAAAGGTATACCCTTAAACCACTGAAAAATTAATAAGAGAAAAGTATTATTCAAAGTACCGACCTGAGGATTAAAGGAAAGAAGAAGATTATTCAACTCTCCAATCCACAAATTAAACAAAAATGACAGACTCACCATATCCAAGACTCGAATCGAATCCGCTGCCAAAGACAAACTTTATCCTCTCGCTTCAATCCTCACCTAACTTAACATAAAACAAACAAAGTTAAGTGAAACCTTTTACCCAAGGATTAGCCAGGAAAACGAATGTAAAGTCAATTAACCTCTAAACCGCCAAAAATGAAAGAACCCGATATACTCACAGCTCCCTCCACAGCCTTCATCCGGCCCGAGCAACATCTCGGAGAACGCCGTTAACCGGTCGTGTTATACAAACCGAGAAGAAGAGCCGACAAGGAAGAGACAAGAAAAAGGGGATGCAGCGGGCAAGCCGTGTGGTCGCGAAACCCGGATGCCAAACCGTAACACCATAATCACCGCTCGTGGAGTTTCACCGTTAATGACGGCGCGGTTGTACCGGAGGCTTCATCGCGATGCAGGCCAGTGGAGTTGCGTCTATTCATCCCGGCGGATTAGCCGGTGCCACGGGTTACAGGTACTGATCGATGCCAACGTTAATTGCACGCAAACGTAGCGTACGCGCGCTCGCGGTTATGTAAATGCGGCACGTATCCAGCAGCTCGAGCGCGTTTCCGCTAAACCGAGGCAATCTTCCAAGCTTGTTACAATATCGACGGCAATAAATTGTTTGCCCGACTTGCTATTTCAGGGCTGAATATCGTTCAGCCAATTAGCGGTTGCCGGCTCGCTTTTAATTTCTCTTTCTTTTTGCCAACTCCTCGCCGTTCCTGCTATCCCTGCCTCTTTGATCCCCCAAGAATACGCCGAGGAAGCTTTTCCCTTCTGATCTGGTTCTAATCGTAAATCGATACCAGTTCCACCGATAGTGCCTCCGTGTTATTTTTGTCTTTGCACTTTTTATCGCAGTGCTCGGAGTACTCGGTTCCTTCGACTTAATGGGTGGTTAGGTAAGTGAAAGATCTAGACGAGTTCGCTGAATGGAGAAACGACGAGACACGAAGGATACTCGTAATTCGTTGGCTCAGAATTTTGACACCTGATGCAAATATTGGGAATGTTGCTTTATGTTATTTTACTTGTGAGAAGGTGGCATGTTGCTTGTGAACTTAGCAAGTAGGTACTTCCTAGGATTAGTTAAAAATTAGGAAACACCGTGTGAAAGTATGCCATTTGCAGCGATGTTATTTGCTAGAGAAGACATGTCTGTGGTGGAGATATGTGATCATTTGAATGTTACATTGACTACACCAGGTACTCGTTTAAATTAGTTCAAATGTCCTTTAGATGACAAGGTACTTATGCAATCAAAGGACTGATTCAAACTTCCAGTTTCAATTCTATTGAACGAAATTTGTGTAATTAAGCAGAAGTTGGCGCATAGCTTGTGAACTTTGTAAGCAGATACTTGCTAGGATTAGTTAACAATTAGGCAATACAGTGTGAAGTATACGATGTCATTTACTAAGGAAGACATGTCTGTGATGGAGATATATGATTTTTTAAATGTTACATTGACTCCAAGTACTTGTTTAACACTTTGACTGTCACGTTGGTCATAAATGACCAGTCACGGTTTCTCCTGTGACACCACAGTGGTCATTAGTGACTAGAGCGCTTGAACTACTTGAACTACATTGAACTACATTGAATGAAAATTGACAGTTAGTGCATTCTGAATATAACCGCTAATTAGAAGATACTTTGAAGTAAAAGGTGCCCCACTGAACGATTAAAAATTTGTATTAGAACATACAAATATATAAGAACAAATTTTGCATCTAGCGGTGCACTCCCTTGGCATCCTGAGAGAAACATGTGATTTAGGCGTGACAGTCAAAGGGTTAAATTAGTCCAAATATCTTTTAGATGACAAGACATTTATGCAATCAAGGGACCAACTTAAACTTAAACAAAACTTGTGGAATTGCGAATGATAGTTAAGCAAGATACGTTCCTTGACATTTGACAACGATAGTCCTCCGATTTCCCCAATCATCAATCATGCAATTGTAGGATACCATTACCAAAGAAATCGCGAATCGGTTATTGCCAACAAAAACAAATCATAAACCGGTCAATATTTTCTAGAAGCAAATGTAAAAGTTATTTTGGGTAATAAAATTAAACTGCGTGGCCCCTACGAGGAGGTGAAACGTAAGTTAAGAAAAGCATAAAAGCAGGGTCCTCGACGACCAAAACGGAGTCCTTAGAAATTAACCCTTTGCATTCGAGAGGCACCTCTCAGTCGTCATTTAATCAGATTCTAAAGATGGATGTTAATTAATATATCAAATTTACAATTACCCAACGATGCGTGGAATATCGAAGCAAAATAATTTTACGTCTTAATTTGCATACGATTTCTTATTTGTCGTTTTAAAAATATCGTCGACTTTATGGCAGAAAGTCTTCGAATTACTATTTTTCTGTAACGAAAATGTCGCCGAGTGCAAAGGGTTAATTGTGACCTGCACAAGCGTGAGTAGCTCGGTGTTGAAAAGAGATTTAAATTAGACTGCGTTTCTGTGTGTTTTCGTTTCGTTATCTTGGTGTTCTTTTCCTAAGTTAAATTAGTTTTATGAATTTTGAGTTTGTGTTATTCTGTTCCTGTTGTTTTGTCAATTTTTGATGTCTCAAAACTAGTTTCCGTCATCTTACACTATTGATAAAAATATCTGTAAAAATAGTTAAGTATATTAGTATGCGAAATAATTTTATCCAACAATTTTTATCTTAATTATAAATTAATTTAATTAATATAATTTGAATATCATACCTTGATTTGTATTTCTGATCTTTATTTATCGATATTTATCTTGGAAAATAAATAGAACCTTATTTCTCAACCACTATTCCATTTCTCAGCTTCTGTCAGTATGCACATGATCTCATTCATTTGTCACAGAGATTACCTTTGTATGTTTAGTCGAAGTTTCTATTTGACATCGGTTTTACCGTGTTGCAAAAGAGATTCGTGGATTTCGAACTTGCTACAAATTAGGTTCACGTGTCGGGATGCGTAGGTCCCCGGAGATTCGAGGTTTGGCAGGTGGAATGTGTATCGACGATGTTTGAGATTGATTATGGTTGATTGGGGATGTGTGTACTACGTATGTTTGAGATCGGCCGTGGGTAATCGAGGCTGTTGACATAGTTTGTGTTGATGCCTACGAGCCGGAGCGCCCATCTCCGATAAACTATCTCCGAGAAAGTTTCACGAGCAAATTTGTGATTTAGCTGGTATTTTAAAGCTTCGTTAACGTGCGAGCCGTATCTTCGTTTAACACGTTTCAGTCGTTATCGATACATTTAAAATTCCAAGCGATACGAAGAAAGCGTCTCGAAGGTGTATTTATTAAAATATATGGAAAACGCGTTTTCGAAAGTGCATGTAAATAAACATACCTTGAAGTATGGTAATGATTGAATCACCCACAGGATGGAGGGATGATTATCACCACTTTTGGAATTTTATTTATTTTTGGCATCGAAGTAGGATGTTTAATTTCTTATTTTGAAGATAAATTTCCTTTTGTTGTAATTTCTTGGAATTGACATATTAAAAATTTATTGTAATTCGCAGCATTCGAACTAACAATACACAGTGAACAATATATTAAGTTTAGTAATAGTGAAACGTACACTTATGGAAATATAAACAAAGAATGTAGGTGTTTGTAGGAGTTACAATGGCTGATGTGCTCTACACCGCTTCTGGTTTGGAACTGAAACGCGGCAGGCGACCCTCGACAGCAGCATGACAACAAAGTCCTTGAGACACTAAATCCTCTACTGATCTGCGATCTAACACGCCTGACATCATCGTTGCGCGGTTATGGTTCCTTCCAGTATTTTCTTTCAGCAAAGGAGCGGCTAAATTAAATAAATAATAAATTATAGATCATTTGCATAATATTGTAAATTAAACAAACTGCTGTGA